AACCAGTATCTAATGTAACCTGGTTGAAAGATGGTCACCCAATAATAGCCGCTAATGACAGCAGAGTATCTGTAACACTACCCTCCTCAGTCAATGCAACAAGTGTTAAGATTACTATTATCAATGTGAACCGTAATGACGAGGGCAACTATTCCTGTCAGGCTGTGAATGATGTCGGTAATGATACCTCATCTGGAGCATTGCTGAAAGTCAACTGTAAGTACTAAAACACTACCTCAAACTTTAGGTGTTATTGATTCCCATGATCTGAAAGAGTTAGTTTAACTGTATAGTAAGTAACTGGTAAATAATCATCCCGTTGATGATTACTTGCTACTTACAATTCATTCAGGTTCCCCTCTCTGTAGTTAGCATTGTTGTCCCGCAAACTCAACATCCATTATTCTTACTTATTACTGATTTACTAATTTACTATATTTATATACAGCTATTTCAAAAATGGTTACTAAGGTTCTGTTGCTTGTTGCTAATACTAAACTTGAAATGTATTTTATTTATATATTTAAATAATGAAGCACAGAAGAAAATATATACTCGAAAAATGGCAGACAAAGTTTAGGAAAGTTTCATATATTTATAATTTTTTGCTAATTTTATTCACATCACCCGTATTGGAATTTGAACAGAATGCAACAGAACCTTTGCCAACCTTTTTTTTGAAATAGTTGTATATTTTTTTGAAATAGCTGTTTACATTTAATCAATCAATCAATCACATTTTTCAAAGTGGGTAAGCAAATTCAGTATAATACTGGTTTCATATTTTGCCCACTGTCATTCACACACACTACCAGTACATTAGTTATTCTATGTATGTGAATATATATATTTATACTGTGGTTGTAATGTATCAAATTGAGCTGATTCTCGCAGTATATGAAGCAACTTATGCAGCTGCAAATTGAAAGACTCAGAAGAAATTCTGAGTCTTGAACAGGATTTGAAACCATGCCCTGGCGATTCCAGTGCCATGCTCTAACCACTGAGCTACCAAGTCTCATATGAGATTTCAAGGACACATTAGATGGGCTTATCATAGTTATTCTATGCGTACAACTCTTAAATCACATGTTGATTTTTACGGAGAGAGAAAGACCAGAGAACCTGGAGAAAAAACTTGTGACACAGGAGAAAATGACACATCAAACAAACTCTACTCATAAGTTGAGCACAAAGGGGTTGACCACCGACCCCAAACTCAACATTAGACTGATTTTGAAAACACAACTCAACATGAAAGAGGATGGGGCACACACAAACGAATGGATTTTAACACCATTAACATTATGACATCCTTAGCAGGCCATGAAAACAGGCGAAATGGAATCCTGAATTGTGTTTGCTAAAAATCTGTCTATATTGGTGAGAGAATGATGCATTAGGAGCATAGACCACCCATACATTCATTTCATGTTTATTTAATCAGTTCCAACTTTTTTCAATTCCTGAAATATCGATAAGATGGCTAGCTTAGGAATTGGATCACTGGATCTCACTACTGCAATGCAGGTTTCATTCCAGGACTCCCATAATTAGATAATTGCAAAATATGGAGGAGCAGGCATAGCTCAGTTGTTTGGTGCGCGGCCTTCAGAGCTAGAGGTCCATAGTTCGACCCTCACGAACTCCACGTCTGTTTCGACTACTCTCTGTTCTATGTAGCTTTAATTAGCTTTAAATACCCATAAAAAGCAGCACTGATAGTAAGAGCGCATTAAACATAAGCCTCTGGCTTGGGAGATTTGGGCAAACACGCCCCACATTATAGTACAACAAATTACCTTTACCTTTTTAAGTGTTTGGAGTGTTTATGTCTTTTTCTCTTCAGATCCTCCAAGGATATTGGTTCCTCCAACAAATAAAACAGTAGTTGAGAGAAGCAGTGTATCCCTTACGTGTTACTTGGAAGGCAAACCAGTATCTAATGTAACCTGGTTGAAAGATGGTCACCCAATCATACCTGCTAATGACAACAGAATATCTGTAWCKCYACCCTCCTCAGTCAGTAATACAACTGCTACGATTACTATTACTAATGTGAACCGTACTGACGAAGGCTACTATTCTTGTCAAGCTTTGAATGATGTCAGTAATGATACCTCATCTGGAGCATTGCTGACAGTCAACTGTAAGTACTAAATCACTACCTTAAACTTTGGGTGTTATCCCAGGGGGTRTACTCGGGTGGGTAATATGACGGGGAGGTGTGACGTATTTTTTTGGGTTGACAATTCGTTCCTGGTATTTTTTTGGGTCAAGAGACCAGCCACGTATTTTTTAGGTCTCGAAATGAAACCCGTTTTTTATGGCTCGTCACATCTCTGAGTTCGATTTTTGTATCAGAAAATTATTTGTTAGATTTTTTTTTCAGCAAGGCGTGTGTGAGTTCCTAAAGGAACGTACTGATGTCATGTATTTTTTTGGGTGTAAAATTTCAGGTTTGAGTCTTTTTTNGGCCATGAATTTTGCAAATGGCTGTATATATATATATGTTTTATTTTTGAAGTCATTATACAGAGGTTAATAGTTTAATATAATGCAAATCTGACGTAGACTACTAACAAGTGTAATATCTTCCATCTGAATGGATGCATGRAATGCTACACCTAGACATTAAAGATCACAAATGAAAATGAAAAGTAAAATCAATTAAATTGCAAATTAGAAATCTATTAAAAGTCTAACTAAAGGATAGTTTAAGTGGAGTGCATTAGAAATTATTTSTGTCCATTCCAGGCATTTCCCTTGGCTATAAATGGTGGAAAAAGCTTTGACTCCATTGAATTTTTTTTTATTGTTCTGTAATGTTCATAATATCTTCAGGGTAGAAAAAAAAAATTTCAAAACGTTGCTTTATTTTGGTTTGAGTGTCATGATAAATCCTATTGTTCTAATTTCTTTCTCAGATAATTCTTCAATCACAACCCATCCCTCCAACAAAACATCACACCAAGGCCAGAATGCTACTTTTGTTTGTAATGCGACTGGTAAACCACCTCCAACTGTTCAGTGGTATAAAGATGGTCTACTCCTCAACAATATATCAGGCAACCCAAGACTTACCCAAGATCCTGGCTCAAACAGCCTGATAATAACTAACCTTACAAGGAATGATGAGGGTTTTTATGCTTGCAATGCTACTAACAGCGTATCATCGGTGACTTCTAACCAAKCGTATCTTACTGTTTACTGTAAGTTTAGATTATTCTTATAAATATTATGCATCTTAATTTGTTACGTTATGTTTATGACGAATCTGTTCTTTTTGCTATTATTTAGTTAAACATACAACTGACTTAGTTAACTTTGTTATTCAGTGTTTTGCTGAATTTTTCTTTTTTAATTCAAATTAATTTTGCAGTTAAGCCAAAGATTCTGATAGATCCTGTGCACAAGGTAAGGAATGAAAGACAGAATGTGACGTTGAGCTGTCGCTATGAAGGCAAACCGGTTACCGATGCAGTGTGGTATAGGAACGACACCATACTAAGCGATTCCTCAGACTCGAGAATAGGAATCGCACGTTCAGGAAATGCTTCATTGACGGAATCATCTCTGACCATC